TGCCGATCAGAAGGTCGGCAGTTCGAATCCCCGTGACGGGGTGAGCTCCCGTTGCTCAGTCCCTGCTCCTGCCAACCTAGCAGTTCGAAAGCACACCAGTGCAAGTAGATAAATAGGTACCGCTCCGGCGGGAAGGTAAACGGCGTTTCTGTGTGCTGCTCTGGTTTCGCCAGAAGCGGCTTAGTCATGCTGGCCACATGACCCGGAAAAACTGTCTGCGGAAGCAGACAAACGTCAGCATGCTCGGCCTGTAAAGCAAGATGAACATTGCAACCCCAGAGTCGTTCGTGACTGGACTTAATTGTCAGGTGTCCCTTTACCTTTACCCATACAGTGTTCTCGAAGCTACCAGCATGAGTTTGACCAAACTGAGGGAGGCAGTGGAAGACAAGAGGGCCTGGCGTGCTCTGGTCCAGGGGGTCACGAAGAGTCGGACACGACTAAACAACAACATAAAGGGTTACACAAGTCCAACATGAGGTCACTTTCTCAGACCCCTTTCCCAACACCTCTTAAGTCCCCATCACTGAAAGAACTCTTTACCTATCCTTGCCCTCAGGACTGGTCTGGAGATGGGCTTTCAGAACACCGGACTTCCTCAACTGCCTCTGCAGATGTCCAGTGTTGCCCCCCCTGGTCGCTCCCGGGGTGGGGGGCCATGTCTGTGCTCTCACGCTTGGGGAATTATGGTGGGGTGCCCTGTTCCTGTTGCCTACAGGACTTCCTGCTTCTTGGCTCATGGAGGGAGGTGGAGCCCAAATTCACCTTTCTTTAAGGGTTAAAATGCCCTTGGAACGAGGAGAGTCGGTTAAAGTATGGATTTTCTACGAATTTATAAATCTGGGTATCTTCCCTGAGCTGTCAAGTCAAAAGGATCCATTCAGGCATAATATTTGTAACATTGTAACAACTTTAAAGATGTGGGCCTCCCCCCCATGTCATTTCTGCAACAAGGGGGTTGGGCTAGATGACCCGTGGGGTCCCTTTCCAATTCTACAGTTCCACGGTTCTGTGATTAGGAGCCGAGATCCTCACTCCAGGGAGGGATGTGTGGTTCTGATCAAATGGTTGCCGAGTGCTTTGAAGATGAAAAAGCAGAGAGGGGGCTGCCCCCTCTTCTCCCCGCGCAGCTCAGAGTTCCCCAAAGGTTTTGATGCAACGCTGGAAGGCGGCAACAACACAGAGACACTCTGCAGCTTCGGATTACGGCGCCCGGTTAATTAAACTCCTTCCCTTTGCTTTGCAACTGGGAATAGACTAGGAGCCAGGCAAGCAAACTGGCTGAAAGGGAGCCTCTTCCATCAGCACATGGGCAGGCTAGGAGAAGATCTTTGCACCGCCAACGAATCACGGTTATGTCAGTATTTGTGCTGCAAAGGTCACGTCTTATTTCTGGTCCCCAACTCTCACGTTTTTAATGATGCACGTGAAAGTATTTTTCAGGGTTGTGGCTTCTCCTGTACAGTCATACCTCATGTTATGTTTGCTTCATGTTACGTTTTTTCAGGTTGCGTCCTGCGGCGACCCGGAAGTACCAGAAAGGGTTACTTCCGGGTCTTGCTGCTCGCGCATGCGCAGTAGTGCTAAATCGTGCTTCGCGCATGCGCACAAACGCCAGATCACATTGCGCACCTGCGCAGATACGGCGCTTCAGGTTGCGCTCTTTTCATGTTGCAAACGGGCCTCTGGAATGGATCCCATTTGCAACCAGAGGTACCACTGTATTTTGTTAATGTGCTCCATGATTTTCTAGTTTCAAACAATCTTGAGCCACGTTGCGAGACACCAGGGTGTTGAACAGGGAGGGTGCAACTCCTTACATAAATAGAGTCAATGTTCTGCGAGCGTCCCTTGGCAGGAGCGATGTTCTCCGCGCGAGAGCTGCTCAAGGCTAGTGTGCATCGCCCGTTGACATGCTTCAAGGGCCTGCCGTCTCCACTGCAGTTAGCCTTGGTTTAAGATTTGCAGGACGAAGCTATGTAAGCTTTGCACGTAGCAGATTGGGGTTTTCAAAAGCATCACTGTCTTTGACCCCTTTTTCTCAGTGTGCCTTCATTCCTTGCAGCGCTCTGGTGGTGGTCTGGTTCAGGCGCATGCCTGGGAGCACTTTGCCAAAGGGACGCGCTGCTAAATATTTCCAATAAAGGGGGAAAGAAATCTGTTGGGGGTGTTGTAAACAGAGGCAGAAATGTGGTTCCTTCCAGATGTTGGTTGACTGCAAATCCCAACATCCCTGGCCCTGCTAGCTGGCGCTGAAGGGATTTGTTATGAATACAGAACCAAAGAAAACTGCCTGATGCCAAAACAGAGCACTATTGCACACACTGTCAGGAATTGAATCTGGAACCTGTACACAAAGCAGATGCTCGAAGAACCTAAGAATCCATTGTGGCTAGTAGCCACGGATAGCCCTCTCCTCCACAGATTTGTCCAATCCTCTTTTAAGGCCATCTAAGATGGTGGAATAGGAACACGGGTGGTGCTGTGGGTTAAACCACAGAGCCTAGGGCTTGTTGATCAGAAGGTCGGCAGTTCAAATCCCCGTGACAGGGTGAGCTCCCGTTGCTCGGTCCCTGCTCCTGCCAACCTAGCAGTTCGAAAGCACGTCAAAGTGCAGGTAAATAGGTACTGCTCCGTCAGGAAGGTAAACGGCGTTTCCATGCGCTGCTCTGGTTCGCCAGAAGCGGCTTAGTCCTGCTGGCCATGTGACCCGGAAGCTGTACGCCGGCTCCCTCGGTCAGTAAAGCGCCACAACCCCAGAGTCGGTCATGACTGTACCTAACGGTCAGGGGTCCCTTTACCTTTAAGTTGGTGGCATAGGGACACAGGTGGCACTGTGGTCTAAACCACTGAGCCTCTTAGACTTGCCGATCAGGTCTGCCGTTCGAATCCCCATGACGTGGTGAGCTCCCGTTGCTCTGTCACAGCTCCTGCCTACGTAGCAGTTCGAAAGCACCTCAAAGTGCAAGTAAATAGGCACCGCTACAGCGGGAAGGTAAATGGCGTTTCCATGCGCTGCTCTGGTTTTGGTGTCCCGTTGTGCAAGAAGCGGCTTAGTCCTGCTGGCCACATGACCCGGAAGCTGTACGCCGGCTCCCTCGGCCAATAAAACGAGATGAGCGCCGCAACCCCAGAGTCGGCCACGACTGGACCTAACGGTCATGGGTCCCTTTACCTTTAAGTTGGTGGCTGGTCAGAACTAGTCCTCCCAAGACTAATTAGGGAGAATAATTTTAAAGAATATTTTAAATTTGTTGTTAGCCGCCCTGAGCCTGGTTTTTGAACCGGGAAGGGTGGGGTATAAATAAAAAAATATACTGTAATTATTATTAGTAGTAGTAGTAAGCTTGCAGGTCCTATTGGCCAATCCAGAGGTCCAGATTTCCTCTGCACTGGGGATTTCCTCTGCCCACCCACCTTGCAAATAATTATTCTCCCTAATTAGTCTTGGGAGGACTAGTTCGCTCTGTGCAGATACTGAATAGCAAAACCCCTTTCCATTTTGCCATTCAGCTCTGCCTTTTAGGCCCGCTGAGGCTTCCCCTCTTTTCACCCGGCGCGATCTCCTAAAAGCATTAAATTGGATAAAAATAGTCAGCGGGGGGAAGAGGAGGGGAATCTCCATCTTGGGCAGCCCAGATACAATCCTGAGAAAGCCGCTGAGGATTTCGGTTCCCCGGCTAGAGGCAGGATCCAGAAGAAACTCGCCAGAAAATGTCAGCCTTCGGATCGAAAGCTGTCAAGAAGGATCACATCCACCTATTAAAAGGGATATCTAAAATTTCTCAGAGGAGGAAACCATGGTAAGTGCTGTTTCCTTGGGAACAGAATGGTTGTATTCAGAAACAATTTCATTTTGTTGAAAGCCACCACCTGCCTTAAGAGATCTCCTGAGCTCCAGCGAAGGCATAGCTGGAAATGACCCCAATGAAACTTCTGTGGAAGTTTTCTCCACTGAGGTGATATGATAGTCATCTTCCGATAGCTCAAGGGCTGTCACATGGAAGATGGAGCAAGCTTCTTTTCTGCTGTTCCAGAGCAGGTAAAGGTAAAGGGACCCCTGTCCATTAGGTCCAATCGTGACCGACTCTGGGGTTGCAGCGGTCATCTCGCTTTATTGGCCGAGGGAGCCGGCGTACAGCTTCTGGGTCATGTGGCCAGCATGACCAAGCCGCTTCTGGCGAAGCAGAGCAGCACACGGAAACGCTGTTTACCTTCCCGCCGAAGCGGTACCTATTTATCTACTTGCACATGATATGCTTTTGAACTGCTAGGTTTGCAGGAGCAGGGACCGAGCAACGGGAGCTCACCCCGTCGCGGGGATTCGAACCGCCGACCTTCTGATCGGCAAGCCCTAGGCTCTGTCGTTTAACCCACAGTGCTACCCGCTTACAATTCCATGAAATTATAAGGAAGGCAATCCCTGGGAGATGATATATAATGAATTGAAAAAAAATGTTTAAAATGACATTTGTAAAGAAACCAGAAGCATTTTTGTTAGGGATTTTAAGACAAGACCTGCCAAGAAAAACAAAGAATCTATTTATGTATGCAACAACAGAGTCTTGTTAGCACAAGGATGGAAGAATGAGCAAACCCCAATGAAAGAACAATGGCAAGAAAAATTGATGAGTTATGCAGAGTTGGCAAAGTTGACTTATAAATTACGTGAGAAGGACAATAGTGACTTCAAGGAAGATTGGGGACTGTTTACATATTATCTAAAAAAACAACAAAACGATTTGGACTCCTTGGCAGGTTTTGAATAAACACCCACAAATATATTAGTAGAATATATGACAGATAAGGCAATGATATGTACAATTTTTAACATGTAGAGAATAATATGTGCAAACAAATCAGAGAGGGGAGCTGAGGGAAGTCTTTAGCGGGTGAGAGAGGGAGGGAAGGGGCAGAATTAAAAAGGGAGGGAAATGTAATTGGTTATTTTGATTGATAATTTGTTTTGTTAAAATCATTTATTTATTTATTTTTTTAAAAAGGAAGGCTATCCCAATTAAACATCAGGAAAAATTTACTGACAGTAAGAGTCATTCGACAGCGGAACAAATGAAACATATACCAGGCCTAGAGGATAAGAGACAGAATAATTTTATTCCAAGAGACTCTGTCCAGAACCCTTCTCAAGATGGCGGCTAGCCATGGATCAAACTGTCCCATCTCCCATTCTTCATCAGATTGGCTTCCTGGATCAACAAGGCACATGGAATGATGGGAACTGTCCTTTCCTCACCACCATCTCCAGCTATGGACACCATCCCGCATAACCAGAAGGCTATGCAGTTCACAGACTGGCAAACCCAACAACTCCAAGCGCCGGTTCTAGGTTCCCTCATCCTTTCGGATAAACGGAAGGAGTTCGTTCGTGAGGGCGTGGCGCCGGTCACGCCAGCGGAAATGTGTGGGCGCTTGGCCGGGCCCTTGCTCATAGTCAAAACAAGAGCTCAGCTCAAAGGCCAGGGCCGATTTCACCAGCCCAACACCGCCAGCTTTCTCTGGCCCCGGGTGGTAGACGCGCCCATTCTCGGGCAGCATCAGCAGCTTCTCGGGCTGGAAGGGCACAGCCAGCTTGTCTGCTCCGCCGCAGTAAGACAACAGCTCCTCGCCCGACGCTCCCTGCAGGAGGTGGGTGAAGACGATTGGCCGGTCGTCGCATCGGACAAAATTCTGCTCGCGGCCGCAGGGCGAGAGGTAGGGGAAGGCGGCTTCGTAGCGCCCGCTCTGGTTCAGCTTGAGCTGCTTGAAGAAGAAGACCAGGAACTGCTTGTCTGCAGGAGGGAGGGAGAGAAAGCAAGAAGGCCGGTCGATGCGTTTCCAATCTCCTACCAGCACATGTGGGTGGTGCTGTGGGTTAAACCACAGAGCCTAGGACTTGCCGATCAGAAGGTCGGCGGTTTGAATCCCCGCAACACCCCATTGCTCGGTTCCTGCTCCTGCCAACCTAGCAGTTCGAAAGCACACCAGTGCAGGTAGATAAATAGGTACCACTCCAGCGGGAAGGTAAATGGCGTTTCCGTGCGCTGCTCTGGTTCGCCAGAAGCGGCTTAGTCATGGTGGCCACATGACCCGGAAGCTGTACGCAGGCTCCCTCGGCTAGTAAAGCAAGATGAGCGCCCTTCTATTTTTGTATATTTCCACTTTATATTTGATACACACACACACTTGTTTCTAAGGTCTTTGATCAGATCCTCAATACTAATCTTACATAACGTATCTGCTTCTATGCTTAGTAAGGATAAGGCATCCAGCCTGCCTTGTTGCAGAGTTGCTCTGTTGGGATTTTTAATATACTTCAACTGAGAAAATGAACGCTCAGTTGAGCAATTTGTGATCATTCGTGTTAAAAATCTGGCAGTGGAAAATTTCTGCGGTGCCTGCCCTTCCCTTGACGCCCAGAGCACGTGCTTAATTGCTCGTCCAACCCCAGAGGAGGTCGATCCACCACCCGAAGCAAATGGCTTCCCTTTGCCTAATGCATGGGCCGGCCCTGGCCAGGGTCAAACAACCCTTGAAACAGACAAAATGAAGTATCCTCTGCTGTGCTCCCAGCTCTGATTTCCTTGAGGAAGAGAATGCAGTCAGGCCAGCCTGCAGCTCAGAAGAAGGCAATCTGAACCATGCTCTGTTTGGCTCCTTCGAACCGATCCGCCAAGCAGCAAACAGCCCTAGACGGAACAGAACTAACACAACCATTTTGCAGGATCCCTTCATTTACAAACCCATCTGTTCTCTGATTACGTTTTGTGTGTTTTGCCTTTAGGGATCTGAGAGACTGAAGGCACCCGCCTTCTTAAAGAGATGTCTAAGCATGTCAAGGAAATAAACAACTATCTGACTTTTAGAAGGCATCTGAAGGCAGGCCTGTATAGGGAGGTTTTTAATGTGTGATGTTTTATGGTAGTTTTATAATTTGCTGGAAGCCGCCCAGAGTGGCTGGGCAACTCAAGTCAGATGGGTGGCATATAGATGATAAATCATCATTATCTTGTGTGTGGTTTGTGTTTGGAAGACAGAGTTGCACTCATGTAAGGAGTTTGGGAACTTAGAAAAACTAGGCTGGAAAGGTCTAGGCCAGCCTCTCGCAACTATGTGCCATTCAGATGTTTTGGGCTAGAATCCTACCAGCCCCTGTGCTGGCTGGGGCTGTTGGGTATTGCAGTGCAAATCATTGGAAGGGCACCAGGTTGGCCGAGGCTAGAAGACACGATTCATGCCCTACAGTCAGGCAGGTGCTGTGATGACCTGGGACTCGGGCTCGGAACCAGAGGAGTCTCAGTCCGCACCGGATCCTTTGCCTCAGGCATCATCTGAACCAAGTCTGGGGCCTGATCCTGAAGCGTCCCAGTCTGCACAGGTTCCCCTGCAACAAGCACCAGCTGGGCCGAGTCAGGGGCCTGAGCCTGCCCTGGTTCCAGATGCGGGGATGACCTCGTTGCCTCCAGCTGGGCCATCACTCACAGCTGCTCCACTACCGGTTGGGTCAGGGGAGGCTGAGGCAGCCCCTGGGTCTAGTACCCCACCGACGTCTCCCGAGCTGCAGAGACTGAGGTCTGAGAGAAGGAGAGACCTGAGTATTCGCAGGAGGAGTGCTCGCCTTCGGGAGAGACAGGGAGGTGAGTCGCTGGGGGATCAGGACCGGCTGCTACCCCGACAAAGATAAAAGGCTGTCGGACCCTGTCCCAGGTTGTGGGAGCTGCATTGCTGTATGCCAGACCTGTCTGTGATCCTGTACCTGTCCTTGCCTGGTTTCCTGCCTCGTGTCCTGCCTTGACCCTGTCGGACTGACTCCTAGCGGAACCTTTGGATTCTGGACCGAACCTGGATTGCAGTTCTCGGGTTACCCCCGGGCCCAGCACAGGCGCACGTGTGGAGCGACCCTCAAGCAGTACCTCTTTCCCAAGGAACGCAAGCAGAACGCAACTTAATCAAAACAAGCACGTAAGACAAACACCTTGGCCATCGGCTTCGTTTATTTTGAGCTCAGAAGGCCGTTTCTTCGCTGCGCGCTTCCTTGGCAAGCCATTTGGATGTTCTGCTTCTCTTTGGCATTCAGCCCAAACAACTGCGACCCGGAGGCAGCGGACCCAGCGGCATTTACAAGCGTGAGCCGCAGAACACAGGCAGGTGGGAAGAGTCGTAAATCTGAGTTATTAATAGCACAGGTGCAGCTGCGTAATTGGCGGAAGGAAATTAAGATGCAAACAGGCACACGCCGTGCGTGTTTTGTTTGTTTTGCTGGGAGCTACTCTGGAAACGAGGCGGTGGTTGGTGTGTGTGTGTGTGTGTGTGTGTGTGTGTGTGTGAAAGAGTCCAAACTGGAAGAGGTGGGGAGAAGGAAGGATGCAGCTCGCACAAGCCCGATCCCAAGCTCATCACGTTATGTGACGGTGCAAAATCCCACGTGGATTTGGCAGGGATGTTTCGCAAGCGGGAAAGGAGATTCCTGCCCCCGGATCTTCAAATCGGAGGGGTCTTAAACCCAGGCGACTGTGTGCTAGCTGGAAGCACAGCCCTGAATCCCACTTAGCTATGATTTTTAATGATACGAGGAAGGTGAGGATTGAGACTTACAGCAGTGGCTGGAGGAGAGAGCACATAGGAATGGCAAATCTGAACTGGGGGCTCTTGAAAACTGTTTTAGCTCCACTCCTCCCCCCACTGGGCCACTGCTGTCCTGGGACATGTCACTTTTGAAGAGGAACGATGTGCGGCAGGAGGCAACCGAGCGCTGCTGACGATGCTCCTGCGGAAGTGGAGACATGGCGCAGTGACAGCATCCCTCTGCAGTGCAGATCGTCTTGGGGGGGGGGTTGCTCTGCCTCTGACCTGCATCCGACCCCCAGGCAGGAGGCAAACCGCAGGAGTCGGGGGCACACCAGCTTGCAAGCACTTTCATTCTCTTTCTCCTCCCCTTTTTAAAAAATGAACTCTGGACTGCTCACGGTTACAACTGGTGCATTGGAAGATGAAACTGGGGGGTGGGGGTGGGAATGGACAGCTCACCCAAAGACAAGAGGAAGGCAGGGGGGATGCGGGCTCATTCAGCAAGAACTATTGCAATTCCTGGTTCAGTTTTAAATGTAGGTTTCTATATACCTCCAGCTTCTTAAAAAGCAGAAAGCAGAGACATCACCTTGCCAACAAAGGTCCGTACAGTGGTACCTCGGGTTACATATGCTTCAGGTTACAGACGCTTCAGGTTACAGACTCCGCTAACCCAGAATTAGTACCTCGGGTTAAGAACTTTGCTTCAGGATAAGAACAGAAATCGCGCTGCGGTGGCATGGCGGCAGCGGGAGGCCCCATTAGCTAAAGTGGTGCTTCAGGTTAAGAACAGTTTCAGGTTAAGAACAGGCCTCCGGAACAAATTAAGTACTTAACCCGAGGTACCACTGTATAGTTAAAGCCATGGTTTTCCCAGTAGTGATGCATGGAAGTGAGAGCTGGACCATAAAGAAGGCTGATCGCTGAATAATAATAATAATAATTTATTATTTGTACCCCGCCCATCTGGCTGGGTTTCCCCAGCCACTCTGGGCGGCTTCCATAGAAACCAAAAAACACTAAAATATCATTGAAGAATTGATGCTTTTGAATTGTGGTGCTGGAGGAGACTCTTGAGAGTCCCATGGACTGCAAGAAGATCAGACCTCTCCATTCTGAAGGAAATCAGCCCTGAGTGCTCACTGGAAGGACAGATCCTGAAGCTGAGGCTCCAAGACTTTGGCCACCTCATGAGAAGAGAAGACTCCCTGGAAATGTTGGGAAAGATGGAGGGCACAAGGAGAAGGGGACAACAGAGGACGAGATGGTGGGACAGTGTTCTCGAAGCTACCAGCATGAGTTTGACCAAACTGTGGGAGGCAGTGGAAGACCGGAGTGCCTGGCGTGCTCTGGTCCAGGGGGTCACGAAGAGTCGGACACTACTAAACAACAATATACCGCCACTTTCTCACACATTTCTACCAATCCTTCAAAGCTTTTGATATAAATTGAACCCCGAGGTTGCCCAAGGAAGGTCGATCCTGGCATAATTAAAAAAATTCCTTCCAGTAGCACCTTAGAGACCAACTAAGTTTATTGGTATGAGCTTTTGTGTGCAGGCACACTTCTTCAGACTTCATGCATGCACACGAAAGCTCATACCAGTAACAAACTTAGCTGGTCTCTAAGGTGCTACTGGAAGGAATTTTTTTATTTTGTTTCGACTACGGCAGACCAACACGGCTACCTACCTGTAACTAGATCCTGGCATAAGTTTATGCCCCCCAGGGCCACCCAGAAGATACTTCCTAGCACCCAAGTCACCCACATTAGGAAATGACTGGCCATTTCTCAAAGCAAAAACACTTTCCTTGCCACCCCATTGGTTTCTATGCTGTTTCTTTTTTGTAAAGGAGGAAGATTTGTGTGTAGTCTCAATTTAGGATGGGGTGGAAGGTCCGGAGGCTACGCAGGACTTGCTCACAAATATATTGACAGCTGCACGAATTATGACAGCTAGGAAGTGGAAGGGGCAGGCAGAATATAAAATGGAAGAATGGTATGAAGGGGTGTGGGATACAGCTGTTAATGATAAGTTAACATGTGCCATTAAGGTAAGATGGGGAATACGCAGAAGAAATGATTTTGAGGAGATATGGAAGGTGTTTGTAGTATTTGTACTGTTAAAATGGAAAGGGGCCAAGAGGTGTTGAAATTTTGGGAGGTTGGATAGCTACAACAGAATGGTCTTGGTGGTGGGGTACACATTTTTATTCTTATTTAT